CGGACAAGTTATCTCGTACGGTGGCGTGGCTATCCGCCTTCGGCGGATAACTGGGAACCTCGGGCCCAACTGATGGCCGACGTTCCCGGCCTTGTCGAACAGTACGACAAGGGGCACCCGATGGTGAAGGACCATCGGAAAACGAGCGCTCAGCGCGCTCGTAAAGGGATTGCAAAGTAGCAATCCCTTCACGCATCTCAGAAGAGATGCGAGCCCTCCACCAGGGCTCATTAAAGAGGTACGCCTCCTTAGGCGCTTTTGACGAGGTGCTCAGGCACCCCGGGCATGGTTCGCCCCAAGAGAGGCATAACAGGCCTGATTCTCTAGATAACGGGTGCAAACGATGGCATGCACCGGACGTGCTTCGTTTTTTAAACTTATTGCGGCTAGCATAAAGTCTTTGAAACCAAGCCTCTTTCCCAACGTTCAAAACGTTGGTGATAAACACGTTCCAAGATTGAAGGAACGCGTCAACCTCACGCTTCTTGTGTGGGCCATACCATCGATGTCCAAGAAACACATCAATGTAATAGTCGCTCTTAGTGCGAAAGTTTTTCGCACTGGCGTCAAGGCCATGAAGCTTTGACGCATCAAACAACGGTATGGGGAACCGTTCGTTGGTCTTTGCATACCAACAATCAAGCAGATGCTTAGGTAGCATCCATGGCTTGCGGTAAGGAGCAAGACGCAATACGTTGCGGTCTAAAGCCTCCTGCGTGGTGTCAACAGAAGTACCGACACTATGAGCATTGATGTCAGTAGAAGCACTGACATCACCCCTACGGTCCCCACCCTAGTCACTATCCTTCGACTCGTTTGGCGAGTCGTCTGATTCATCAGACGACCCGAACATTTCACGGTACATTGATTCACTCAATGTACCACGATTCCTCTTCGTAACATTCGACGACGAGGATATCATCCCGGGGAGAGCCCGGGAGTGACACAGGCGGCTTTGAGCCGGATGCGTCATCCGACTCACCAGAGTAGTCAACGAATAACTCTGGGTCAACTTCTTCACGTGGCGAAGCGCCACGTGAACCTGCAACAGGCGTTGCAGGCTGCTGTTGACTTCCAGCAAACACATTAGTGTCTGTTGGCTGAGGCTGTGAAGCCTCAGTAGCGGCTGCACTTAGGCGTGCATCCGAGCTCTTGGCTGCCTTAGCAGCGACGCGCATTGACTTAGTCATAGCGTGAAAATTGTTGGAATAAGAGAAAATTCAACAAGTGCTCCTTTCCCATAGTCACTAAACAGTCACTAATGTGACTGTTGGTTGAGGGGGGGGTGATGTAACGGGGTGAGCTCGTTACATAATATTGACACTTATATGAAGTGTCAATAAAAATATTATTATAACTAATAATATTTGATAATATTATCTTTTCTTATAATATTGTCCCTAGATCTTCTCGAAGTTGGCGATGCCCTCTCATTGGTTGATATGGGCCATCATATCAACCAACGCGCTGACCAATGACCGATGGACGTGCGCAATGAGTGGAGGGCAAGTTGTCAGCATACATAGTTGTAGTTTAATATAGTTAACATAGGTTCTAACAGATTAGTTTTATTAGATAGCTAACTATATTAAATACAGTTTTCTTTTCCTTCTCAACTAAGCGTTTGTTTAGTTGTGTGACTTCCTCTGCTCACGTGTACGTGAGGTAATTGAGGCACCTGCTTTCACTGTCATCAGTGAAGATAGACTATACTGTTATCAGTATAGTCGGAGGGTGCCCCATTACAAACACAGTTGTTTAGGTCCTTATCATTATCTACTAAAATGTTGCACATACGCATAATATGGCGTTTTCGGTCCTTTCTATATGATTATAAATATATGCATTTGGTGAAATTTACAAGGTGGAGCGCCTCATCAATAAATCTGTAAACGTTACACGTACCCGTTAAGTATACGATACTTAATGGGCAGGTCTAAAAAGGTACGTAAGTGTCGCTTGGTCTTAAGTACTTACGTACCATGTTACACACCCTTGCGTATGTGATATACACTTGATGTATACACATTGATGGGGATGACACCCAGCTGGGACAAGCGTCATCAAATGACGTCAGTCAGTTACGTCATTAAGCGAGCTTGAATATATATTTAAGCTCACACGTAGGGATGCGCATTTCCAGAGATGGCATCCAATCATGGCATATTACCCAATCAGTAGCTAGAATTATATTTAGCTAGTTTTATGTAATATTTAAATCAGTCTTGAACTTGAACAATCAAGACCAGATGACAGTTTGGATACTTCAATCAAGTAAGTATTTATTTTAAATGCAGACCCAGGTACATAGATAGTAAGTGCTAATTCACTATGTGGTCTCTTACAGTCTGACTTATAGGGAAACAGTGGTTGAGTGCGATTAAGGTAATACAAACTGTGGTTGGTGAAGGGTCATGGTACACTGATGGTAAGTGCGCGAAATTGTTTGGAACGGGGACACTGATCATCATAGTATTACTTGCTTGTTTCTTGTTTCTTTTATCGATTCTGTAGATGTACTTTGTCCTGACTTCGCCGAAGCGCTTCCGTTCGTCTGCATCTTTGTGACACGCGACGATCACCACTTCTCATTAGATTACCTATACATTACGTCTAGTATCGTATTTAATCTACAATTCTTTTTTATTATTCAAATCTTTTTCTTAATAGTTTATTTGCTATTAATTACAGCTCTATGATCTACGGCGAGCCTATGTAATGAGATAATTGCACGACGTATCGAAAAAGATAGTAGTTTTTTTATTTAAGTGTTGCCATCATCTTACGAGCGCTTGACTTTCTTCTAGTTGTTCTTCTTCACCTGCTTGGTTGTAGACACTATTTTCGTTTGTATCTTGTCATTTTTTGTGTCTTTCGAAACTTCATTGTCACTATCTAGAAACTCAGCAGCCACCTCTTCCACTGCTTCGACGTCTGCGTCACCCTTTTGTCGCACTCGACCTACTTCCGTGCCGTATTAGTTGTCCCACTTCCTCAGCTTGACTTCCACCGTATAAGTCGTCTTGTACGATAGACTATGAACTCTTAACAGTCTTTACAGGCTTGTTCGTCGTTGTCTTTTGTGTGGTGTAGTGGATTCTCAAACAACGTAGGAGAACCACAAACACACACAGCACCAGACTGCCGACTTACAAAGGGGGTACCCCGATACCGTGTCGCGTTAACCTTGAGTCTCACCTTGTGTATCCATCGGCTTGGCGGGTCTTGCTCCTCTGTTGAAGCAGAAGACTTATAGACTTGGTCCTTGTATGGAGGGACTTGGTGGTGCCCGAGTGGATATGCTTCACTCAGGACCGGGGTTTCTTGGGCTCGATCGACTGAGTCGAGAGCGATGCACCAGTAATTACAAATTTAACTACTGATTGTTTAGATGTAAAGATCGGATACGTGTCTCTTTACAAGTGTATCCCTACGTGCGAGCTATAATATATTTAAGCTTGCTGATGAAGTCCGTTCGTGACGTCATCATGACGCCTAGTCCCAACAAGGCGTCCTCCCCGTTGAAATTGAATCCATCCATGGATACATTTACGAGGGTGGGTCAAATTGATGTGCCGCACCCAAGTGGGAAGTCTAAGGTACTACGTACCCTTTTAGATCTCCCCGTTAAGTATCATGTACTTAACGAACTCGTGCAACTATTAGCTCGTTACAGGCTCCATCACAACGCAACTTGTCTGTTATAATACCTCTTTGTAGTAACAGAGAGGTATAAGCCAAGTAATCAGCTATCACATCCTTCGGCCACAGGATTATACAAGATGATTGTGCCAATGAGCTTAAATCTGCGACCCCATTTGAAAAGACCAGACCCGAGGCCTTCGTAAATTCTCGACCATCAAAAGGTCGATTTCCAAGTTCCTTCTGCCTTGTTTCATGGTATCGGACTTGAAGTCGTCGCCCTTGCTCTTGGTCATCCAAGTACTGACCTTGTCCTTCCATATGCCAACGCGCACCTATTACAGGCTTCATGCCGTGAACACCTTGACGATGGGCAATATGAAAATCGTTTCCTTGCCGTGGTCCTCCATATCCAGCTTGTTCATATCTAAAAATACCTAGGCGGTCCCACCGGCCTCCTTGGAGTCGTAACCGGCGTATGGGGAACCCATTCGAGCTATCCATATGCATCCTTGTTCCCTTTCAAAATGCCGATGAAAACAAACTTAAATTGATGGATAGAGTCACGGGTGAGTCCATGTTCCTTCCACGCCCATCTTATCATCCACTAGCTTACCTCCAGCTCCCCGAGCCTGTCCAAGACGCCTAGCCATCCCTCTCATGAGAATCAGGAGCTCTGACACACCATTATTCCTGGTGTTGATAACGCATACCACATGGACTTTACCGGGGTTGCTCTTCTTCTCTAGATTTTCGTTTCTGTTGGTCCCTCCGTGACCGGTGGTGGGAGCTGCTTGCTCATGCACGCCGTCGCGTGCTGTGCCTCCGTGTGGTGCCTTCCTTGGGGTCGTAACCTGTTAAGAGTTGAACAAAGAGCAACAATAGCACACACAATTTTGATACAGAAGAGAGAGTGATATTTCTTTTGTTATTCACTAGCTAGCTTGAAGAGTATATAGTAAAATACATTATATAATGCAACCTCAGCAGGCGTTTGGCGTAAACATGATTATTCACAATCAATCTGTACTAGATTACTACATCACCATCTTCAAACTTGCCTTCCAGCAACATTACCATTGACGAGTAATCCAGGTACGCTGCAATATAATAGAAGGCTGACATTGTAATAATGAAAATAGCAGGGTCGACTCATAATCGCTATATAAGTACTGCAATTAATTGCCAATGTCAATGCTAAGTAACTTTATAAGCAAACTTTTTCTAATGTAACTATCTAAAGTAACGTTATACCATCGAACTTCCCATTTGACAAAATACAACGCCCACCTTTTGAATCACTTTATCAAAATCATTCGCAAAGGAAACGTTTCCTTTGCGCCAAGTAGTGTCCATTTATGGGTCGTATTGCACGCCTTGAGCTCAAGAATTTCAAGTCGTATGGAGGAAATCATGTAATCGGTCCTTTTCATCGCTTTACAGCTGTCGTAGGACCCAATGGAAGCGGAAAAAGTAATCTCATGGACGCCATTTCGTTCGTCTTGGGCGTTCAGTCCCGTCAATTACGATCCAATCAGTTGCGTGATTTGATTCATCGATCTCCTACTGACGATGCTACAGCCACAGAACGTTCTGCATTCGTAACACTTGTGTACGAACTCGCGCCAGACGAGACACGACCAGATTTGTCGACTCAGACTCAGACTCAGCAAGAGATTCACTTTTCTCGTCTTTTGTCGGAAAAAGGCATTGGCTCGTACCGTATTAACGGTCACGATGTGAGTGCTGAGAAGTATCAGAATCAGTTGAAAGAGATTGGTATTTTAGTAAAAGCACGCAACTTTTTAGTCTTTCAAGGAGACGTCGAGTCAATTGCAAGTAAAAGTCCAACTGAGTTGACAAAATTATTTGAACAGATTTCAATGTCTGACGAACTCAAGAATGAATACGAGCGATTATTGGAAGAGAAAAATGTCGCCGAGGAGAATACAATCTTTGCTTATAAGAGGAAGAAGGGATTGGTGGCAGAGAAAAGGCTGGTGGGCGCCTTATTTAGTATAGGAACGAGAGAAGGATTATTTGCTAAGGGTTTTGTTACTTCGTGGTGGATTCTTTATAGGTTAAAGAACAAAAAGAAGAGGCAGAACAATTCAGACAGAAGCTAGAGGCTGTGGTACGTTGTGTAGTTGTACTGATATTAATCATCTAAGGATGATATGTCTGACAATGGTGCTGTTGTGTGTGTGTGTAGAATAATCTCCGGGTGGAGCATTATTTGTGGCAGCTTTTTCAAGTTGAAGATGATATGAAACAACGTGAAGAGACCGTGAAGCATTACCAGGAAGCGGGCCTTATTTGCTCGAAAAAGGAAGATGCCGTTGCCCAAGTCTATCATGAGAAAAAGAAAGAACTAGGTGCAACTTTTCGGGAAGTAAAAGCAAACCGTGGGCAGATTCAGGCTTTCCAAAACGAGATGGCGGACATTCAGCCGCAATTATTCAAACTGCGCGAGCAGACCACGTATTCCCAGAAAAAGTTTGTGGAAGCAGAGGCAGTCGAAACGACTATGAAAAGACGGCAAGAAGGAAAGTCGACGGAAGTACAAGACTTGAAGAAAGATTTGCAAGAACTGGACAGAGCAAAGACTGAACTCGATGAAAACCAGAGACGTGCAAGCGAAAAAAGTGAGAATGGAGTGCTGGTCCTAGAAGGCTCACGCTTGGAGGAGTACCATCGAATCAAGGAAGATGTTCAGGTCAAAACGAATTTACTACGGAACAAGCTGGAGTCCATCTTACGGCAGCAGACCGCCGATCAAAACAAGGTGGAGACATTGACTCAAGAACGCCAGGAAAATATCAAGATGGTAGAAATGCTTACGGATGACCTGAAGCAAGCTGACGAACGAATTGTGACGATGCAACGAGTAATTTCCGATACGGAGCACGAGATTGCCGAAGTCAAAACGAGCCTACAGACTGCCGATGAAGAGAATCGAGGTCAGGCGCACAAGAAGGACAAACTTTCGGAACAACTGAATCGCGTTAGCAGCAAGTTGCGCGATTTGAAGGATGATAAGCGGCAGTCACAAGCAGAGGCACGCAGAGCAGAAACACTGGAAACCCTAAAGCGATTGTATCCTGGTGTTCGCGGTCGTCTAGTCGACCTTTGTAAACCGATCCAGCGCAAATACAACATGGCTGTGACTGTAGCGACAGGAAAGCACATGGACGCAATTGTGGTGGCAGACTACAGAACAGGGCAAAATTGTATTCAGTACCTGCGTGATTCACGTGCAGGTAGTGCTCCGTTTATTCCTCTCGACAGGATCAGAGTGAAACCAATCAATGAGCGATTCCGTGGCCTCGGGAACAATATCAAAATGGTGGTCGACGTGATTGAATGCGACGCTGAGATTGAGCCTGCGCTACACTATGCCGTTGGCGATACCGTCGTTTGTGACTCCATCGACATCGCTCGCGATCTGTGCTTCCGGCAAAATGAGAAAGTGAAGGCAGTGACACTGGACGGGAAGGTTGTTAGCAAGAACGGAAGTATGACAGGAGGCAAAACGCACAGTGACTCGCGTCGAGCAGATCGATGGGATGAAAAAGAGGTTGAGGCTTTGCAACAACAGAAAGATGGTTTAATGAACGAGTTGCGCTCATTGGAGAGGCACGGTGCATCGTATGCGAAGCTACAAACGCTGCGTACCCACCTGGAAGGGTTGCAAAGCCGGCTTAGCCGTGCAAAAGCTGACCTGGGAATTACAGAAACGAAAAGACCAAAGACTCAAGCCCGAATTGATGATGCCAAGAAGCGAGTTGCTGAAGTGATTGATCCGGAGCTACACAAATATGACTCGGCTGTGAAATCTCGCAAGAGCAAGGTTACTGCCTTACAAGAGCAAATTAATAGTGTAGAGGACGAATTGTTTGCAGAGTTTAGCGAAGCAGTCGGCGTCGAAAGTATTCGTGTCTATGAAGAGAAGGTACTTAACCGACACCACAAGGCGCTGGAAATGCGCCGCAAAATTACAGAACACGAAGCCAAGCTCCGCGCACAGGTAAGTTTGTGGGGTATTCAAGCAATGTGTGATATATGTCGCTTATGCTGCCTGAGTTTGTCGTGTGCTGCAGATCGAGTATCTACAGTCACAAGACTTTAGTCAGCCCATGCTTGAAGCAAAAGAAAGAGCAGCTCAAGAATCTCAGCGCTTGAAGCAGTTAGCAAAACAGGAAGGTGGTCTCTTAAAAAGAGAGGCAGTACTACGCAAAGAAAAGAAAGAGCTAGAGGGAAAGCGCAAGAACTTATCTGCGAAGGTGGACGAACTTGAAAAGGAACTACGCGAGATTGGCAACCAGAAGGCAAAATACGAGGAGCGGAGGATCAAAATTCAAAGAAGAATTGCGTCAGAGGAAACGGTGCTTGAGCGTTTGAAAGATCACAAGACCGAAATATTCAAGCGCGCGTCGTTGGACCAGATTAAATTGCCTACTGTTACGCGCAAAGCTAACCACAGCTCCGAGGATGTTGAAATGGAAGATGCAGAAGGATCAAGCAGTCTTGACAACTCCGAGCTCCTATTGGGTGGTAATGCTGCAAGCCAGGAAGTGGACTTTTCAGCTCTTCCGGACGCTCACGTCGTGGTAGACGATAAGGAATTTGACGAGATCAATTCAGATTATGAAAAGCGGATTGGTGTGCTACTCACTGAGCTGGAGCGGATGCAACCAAACATGCGCGCGCTCGACAAGTTTGACGTGATTCAAAATCGAATTGGCAAGGAAGAAGAGGAACTGGACCGTGTGAAGCAGCAGTCCTTACAGACTGCATCGCAGTTTGAAAAGATCAAGCTTACTCGGTATGAGCGCTTCATGGAAGCATTCAACCACATTTCAAGCGTGATCGATTCAACGTACAAGCAGCTTACGAAAAGCTCAAAGCACCCGCTAGGAGGCACAGCATATTTGAACTTGGAGAACACGGAAGAGCCGTATTTGAACGGGATGAAGTACAACGCGATGCCACCAATGAAGCGCTTTCGTGAGATGGAGCAATTGTCTGGAGGTGAGAAGACGGTGGCAACACTTGCGCTGCTGTTTGCAATCCACAATTATCGTCCGACGCCGTTTTTCGTGCTCGACGAAGTGGATGCTGCTCTGGACAATGTGAACGTGAACAAAGTATCCACGTACATTGCAAACTGCGACTTCCAGTGTGTTGTCATTTCGTTAAAAGACTCATTCTACGAAAAGGCTGACGCACTGATTGGAATCTGCAAGGACATTTCGTCGCAGCAATCGAGGTCCATGACACTCGATTTGACCAAATTTGATTAAGTGGTCGCAATATTATCTTTGCATTTTAAAATACGAGTTTTTGCAAACTGAAGTGAGTATTACTCAACTCTGATTGGTTTATTCCAGCTCAAATTTCACCTAATTAGTTCTTTTTAACTAATTATCCCCATATTTATTAAGTAAATTTCAAAGTTAAGATGCTATCGACGGTGCCCGTAGACGACGCCATACGCACGGTGAGCGTGGAAATGTCAAAGGAAAAAGGCCATTCTTTCATTGGAAAGTATGTGGCTTAATGTCTTTTTGCCAATATTTGTGAATTTATTGCTAATTTGTAGTATCAATTATCACAGAACCGAAGCAGAGATGGAAGTTTTAGCGCATTATGCTGAAAAAGGGCGCCGTCGTGCCGCTATGGGGGCAATTGTGGGGTCTTCAATAATGGGCGGATTATGGAAAATTTCTAAAAATCAGAAAAAACTGGCGGGAGCATTTGCAATACTGTGTACGTGGAAATGTACTATTATCAAGTTTACGAGGTGGTCTAAAACTAACCACAACTACTTCATTATATGACGGTGGTTGTGTAGCTGGAGGTCTCTTTGGAGCTTCATATGGCATTATTAGTATTCGTCGAAATTTATTTTCCGATCTCTTGATGTTGCCATCCGAAAAGTCACCTTTTGCCGCTCGTGCCAGGACCATGTGCGATTCTTTTTTTTTTGATGGCGTTTATCTGGATTGGTGTTGTTGCTAAAGCACATGGAGTTGTCTAACCTGTTTATGATTTTATCATTTTGTCTGTTGTAGTTTGATGACCAAGATTCCAGAGAATTCATTTGTGCAGGAGTTGAATGAGAAATTCAATAGCTCGATGGCTGCTACGTACGTTGATTTCGATTAATACGTTCTAATGTAGTTGTTACAAGTTGTTGCTAGTTTATTTTGTAATTCATTTATGTGTTTTTGATATCGTAGTGACTCGTGGAATGAAGACACTGAGGCATTGGGAAATTTTGGTTCGAAGCAGCCGTCAATGAGTCTCCCCTCGGTGCCACGCCGTTTTGACAACGGAATATCAAGCAGAACCCCACCAATCATTGGTTTGGATACGCCACGGCACGAGAAAGAGGCTAGGGATGAAGCTTTTGGAAAGCCAAATAACAACGGAAGTCGCTCGCCGTTTGTCTTTGGTGCAAAGCCTTTGACGGATGATACTTCGGACACTAAAGACAGCAACACTCCACTCTCCCGTGCCCCATTTCCGCAGTCTAGACAGGAGTCTCACCAATCAAAACCTGATGAGGATTCTACATCACTGCGCCATGACGAAGACGACTATTTCTTTGATGATGTTGGTGATGCAGAACCTTCAGTCAAACCTACTACTTGGGAAGAGATCCGACGTCGTGCTGCAGAGCGGTGTAAGTAGTCTCTTTCTTGCTGCGTTTTGAGCAACGATTGTGCAACGAAGTATATGACGTAAACAAAGCAATGAACGATTCTTGCTCGCTTGTGCGTTAGTGAGAGATGCTGAAAATGGATGCTTATATATTCTCGACTGTCGATCTGTCTGTAACCTGAAAACAGTCAACAGAACGCAATCGACTCGCAACCAAGTCAAAAATATGAAGACATAAAGAGCGAGCATCTACGACCATACATACTGTGGACTGCAATAATAGCAACAGCAAAGAGTAGCTTTTTGTTAGTATTTGAGACATGAAGAGCATTTGTCACATGAGAGATTGCATTCAGAAGAAAAGCTTGTCGTGCTGAAAACTATCTTGGCACGAATAGTAAAGAGAGATATGCTGTTGCTATTTTGGAAACGACTTAAAAGCGTCAAGTAGTGAAAGGCTCCAACACTTGTTCGAGATCTCAACACTTGTTCGAGATCTGTCGCACGCTACCGTGAATACCATCGCAAAGATAGCGATGACGCATTATTTAGATCCGTCCACTTCTATGGTATATTCCAAAACTACGCACTGAAGATGATCTCCTAGAATTAAGATGCATGCATGGAATCTAGAGGAAAAAGGGCAGAAAACTCTTTGCCTTGAAAACTCAACGTCCTAGAGACATTCAATTCATAAATATCTTTTGCCCAGATGCGTCATTTCCTCGTGGACTTACTACTCGTGCTACTATAATAGTTGCCGCTCTTGTTGCAAGCTCGTAGAGTCGTGGTCGTAAGGGTCTTGTTTAGGAAACTAAGAACGTATGACAAAATGACTTTACTTACAGACGCGTGCCAGACGCGTTTCAACCCGACGCCGCGGGCCTCCGCCGTTGCTTACCGATCGCAAAGTGATCCTCCTCAGTGCAGCGGCCTCTGTCGTTGCCACACGTTTGCCGATGCATCGAACATTCTAGAACGACCTCGAAATAGACTATTCTAACACTACCTAGCAGACTTCACCGGTATACATCTTATATCCGGCTAGATACGAAGTTCCTCTTTCTAACAGCTTAAGTTATTCTTATTACAATAACTTAAACTTGTAGCGCACAATAACAGATCGCTTACAGCAAGACACGTAACCATCGTGGTGTGGTACACACCAAGTTTACTGCCGATCGGGATTGAAGTCGCGGGATGCTATCAAAAATGCGATCGAGTATGGCCAAATCGCATCTTTCACACGTTCGGATCGCTATTTAGTGCCACTAGACCTGATTTTGTTAATTACTGAAGTGGATGTTGCCTGAGAAGTAGATGATAAAAGTGAAGTGAGCACATTATGCATGCACAGGTAGCTCCTTCATACTCTTGTAGCTTACCTGTCTTGTGGCCCTTGGGCATGTTAGAAAGTAAGAATAAAGTTAACATGAATGACTTGTATATTAATGCGTGCAAGACCCCCGCCGGGGCCTTGTCAGTGACTTATTTACAAGTGATGACCACGCGATCATCTTCCTACCTAAGAATTATCACATCTATAGACGCATTTATAAGCCTCTACAACATTCCATATATTCTAGCGTAGGTTGAAGCTCTGGAGTCGATACCAAGTCAACTTACACTTTTCAACATATCTTAGGTTCCTGAACGCATCATAGCCTCATAATTGACATATTGCGGCGCTTGTAGTCTATAACTGGCGGTCGATGCGCCGTCCTAAATGTCCTAGCTGTACCAGTTGAAAACTCTACCAGTCGAGTGTGATTCGTACGTAATCGAATTCCCCGATCGCTTTCCTCATCATCCACTTCTCGACAATTTCCCCTGCAAATGGTAGACGCTGTCAAGTGACATTAAACTGTGCACCCTGTGATTGTGTTTTTACGGGCCTTCGTACAACGAACATGTTTTTTTTCGGTGCGGTGTCATCTTCGGTGCCGTCTGGCCCTCCTCCTTCCGAGCAGTCGACCACGATGATCGGCGAACTGTCTTTTGTTATGTCAAGTCCGTGGGTACTGGCACACCGGCCGCGGTTATTGACGCGTCCATGGCCATGGACGCTCGCGGTCCTCTTACCGCAGTCCTTGGTGCGTGTGAACATGTATCTCCTCGTGTACGGCCGACAGGTCTTACCGGCCGATCTCGCCAGAATTCCTAGCTCCAGAGTAGACTTCCCAGTAGTGGATCGAGCCGGGTGGATGGTTTGATCGACTGGACCTGCCATCAGCTAGACGTCCAGCAGGAATGGACCGACCGATACAGATCGCTCGAGCAAGCTTGGAATGCCCAAAACTTTTCGCGGGGATCGGCTGGAACAAGAAAATTAGCAACTTGGCGCGGCAGCAGTCCCGTTTGTCGAATTTGTGCAGCGAAAATTTAATCGGCTGCACCTACAACACCAAGAAGCGGCCAAGCAAGTCGAGCAGTTTCGGAGCGAGATCGCGAAACTTGCTTATCAGGCCCAAGAGATTAAGGATCAAAAGTAGTAAAGCTCGCGCTTGCCTCGCTCCTCCGTGTGGGACTGCTCGTCCTCGGGACCAAGAAAGACTTCAACGCCAGATGGCGTTGCTTAACAGCAATTGAACAGCGTGGTTGCTTAGACTACAGCTTTGGGGCAGCAAGGGGCTGTCGCCCGTAAAACGAAAAGCAGCAAAGTACAAGAGAAAATACTATCGTACTACCCGATCCTTTGAGAACATGAAGAATTGGCTGAGCGTCACCCGTTTCGATCTGGATCATCTGCGATCGAGTAGCCGAATGCAATCAAGGTGTTCAGAACCGTAACTATCTTTGGGATCACCTGGTCCGTCGTACGTGTCAAGGCCCTCCCGATTATCTCCCTCCATCGTCAACAGCAGCGACCGCTGGCGTTATACCTGGGACAAACAAACGGTTTGTGTTCACTTTCCGGTCCAGACCCTTCCGGTCCTTCCGGTCCTTCCAGTGCGGCTGGAAATAGCGCATACTATGTCTGCTTTAGCCGAGCGTTCGGTTTGGACTACACTGACATCTTTGTCGACCTTTTGTGTTCATAGTTCGTGATCCTGCTGTAGAAATTTGGCGTGCCTGCGCTGAAGGTGCTTAACTTTTAGATGATTCCCTGAACGACTCAGCTGTTACACAAACGCCTGGTTTACAGTGAAAAGGTAGAGAAACACAAGACGAAAATAACAAATAGAGCGGTGCACTGCGATCAAGGACTCTAAGTTTGTGTTTGCTGCTTAAGCCAAGTATTGCGCAGTGTGTTGTTTCCAACATACCTTCTTCCAATAGCGTGCCATCTCTTCTAAGAGCGACGCACGCAAAGTAGCATCTTGACTTTCGTCTATGGCTGGATAAGAATAGGGACCAGCTCATCGTAGTAGATACTGCCGATGAACTGCAGCGAGCGATCAACATACTAAGCCAATGCTAGTAACGAGCGGTCTGACGATCACGCAATCCTTTTTCGACCGCTAACTTTTCACAGTGGGTTAACGGTCGAAAAAGGATTACGCGATCGGCGGTAGGAGATACTGCTGATCCAAAAAGCTTCAAAATCGGGTGATTGAAGTGCTGCCTCCCGATCTGTGCCGGCAAGTCACAGTCCAATGGTACAGCTTTGGGTCTGCGATTGACTGCTAGTGGATCGCGACAAGCCTACAAACCCCAGATACACGATGCATGGTCGGTAGATTTACTGCTATAATCAATGTAAGATCAAGAATATATATTCGCAGGATCTAAAAACGAGCCGCTCTAGCGTTGTAACAGATGACAGGGACGTACCACTAATCAGCTCTGCATTTACTTTTTACCCCTGTCTTTGCCCATCGAGCAGCATGCTATCCTGAAGTAAATTTATTATACGGTCTCTCCAGCATCTCGATGGAGGTTTCTTTTCGTTTCGGCTGTTCCATATGGCCGTCTCTTTCGAAGCATTCAAGCACGTGGAAAAGACTTTCTACATACATGGCATCTTTTTCCCGGCCAAAACATGTGTTTCAAAAAGTGACAATTTTACCGACGACTCCAAGTCTGTATTCTTCATGGCTCGCTTTACACGTTGCATTGCCTCGATCATCAAGCCAAACTCTAGTTGCCTCACGGAGGTGAATGATGTGTGTGTGTGGAAGCAGAACGAAAAGTGTTTCCTTTTCAATAAACTTGAGAATCGATTTAGCCCTGTAATCTCGTTTTTACTTCTTTCATTAATCATTTATGTCCATCCAACATTAAACGAACCAGATTCAAATGTACAGCATCTCCGGCAGTTCGAGGGAATTATCCCCTCGACGTCAATTAGCACGCGTGCCCAGCACGCAGAGACCTTGACTCTGCATTTCCGAATATTCGCCTGTGGAACCATGCGTCTTTCCCTCTCACGATTTAAGCGGCTGTTGCTATCAATCTAGTGGCTGTTGGTGCGCATGCTGAGTCACCCAACGTCATCACCAAGTTTGATGTACGTTTGTTTCACGTGTTACTCATCCTTCACGACGTGACCAAACAGTTTCATGCCGTCTCGAGCTACCAAATTTAGCACATGTCCCACGCACCTGTGCATCATCTGGTCGGATTCGAATGTCACATCTGCTTTCGCCTCCAATGCTTCGAAACGTCGAGCCACTGTCCACTGTTACGTGACCATGTTGCCACACATGACTAAGCTTTTCCATCAAGCCATAGTAGTATTCTTCGAGATTGTTTTTTCTATGAGCACTTTTGAAAGGAAAAAATCTCAAATGCTGCCAGCATAAAAAATGTTTGCAAAAAGTGCCCACAAAACCGTTCAGTTAGTGAAATTTAAGAAGTGTATGCTTCGATTCAAACTTGCTGCCGATCCAATGTCCAGTCAAGAATACGAAGCCAAATTTTGACCCGGTGTCGTCGAACAGTCCGAGGTCATGTGTATATAGATAAATTTCTCCAAATCATATTGAATCGTTTGCACCAGGTTTTGTAGCTTTCGGACATGCATTTAGCTGCATGCTCGGCAATCACCTTTGCTTTACCATCATTGTAGAAGTTCTTGGATTGCATAA